TTCTCCCTTGAAATCTCCTTGATATCCACATCAAACATTTCACTGTTCTTTAATAACTGATTTATTATGAAGTAACTGTTATTTTTTTAATTCATAAAAATAAGTTTAAAAATGCCTCACATAAAACTTCAATCTACTTAGCTGATATTTTAGCTGTTCATTAAGATTTCACAGTTCTAATACTACGTATGAATTCCAATATATGCTGCTTTATTTGTGTTTTCTCCACAAAATGTTGGCTATTTCCAGTTCTTATTATAAGCTTAAAAAACAAATCCAACACATGCAAAATAAGTAAGCAGTAAATCAAAATCAAACAGCACAGCATGATAAGCAGCCATCATGGTGACACTTCTGCTCAAATATTACACCAACAAGATGACTGAGAATCCACACAGTCACACCAACCACTTCACAGACCTCTTGAGGGAAGGAGTAACTCCATAGAGCACTGTAAATTTTCAAACCTCTTTATAAACATAAAGAAGCAGCCTCCAAAATATTCCCTTTCAGTGGATAGGGGAAAAAATAAAACAGAAAACAACAACAAAAAAAAAAGTAAAAAGAGAAAGAGGAAAAAAATGAAAAAGATGAAGAAGAAAGAGAAAAGAAAAAAGAGAAAAGGAAAAAGGAAAAAGGAAAAAGGGAAAAGAAAAAAGGAAAAAGGAAAAAGGAAAAAGAAAGATAAAAGAAAGAAAAGAAAAAAAACAAAAAAAGAAAAAAGAAAGAAAAAGAAAGGAAAAAAAAAAGAAGAAAAAAAAAAGAAAAAGAAGAAAAAACATAGATGGCAGCTCTGGGCTGCCCTTCCAATGCCAGCAGTGGAAAAAACTAATAAAGATGTAAGCATGGATAAAACTTTTCCAGAATATTCTAAGATTTTAGGCTTCTTTCAAGAGTCATGTCTTTGCTTTCAGTTATGTCAAAGTGAAAAATACTAATTTAGTTCAATAATCCCAAATTTTTCCTCTCATCAAAACCAGAACTCTATTGTTGCTCACATTAATTCCAAGGGCAGCGTAACTGCTGAGAGCTGAATCACAAACATCCTCCCCAGATTAACTCGGAGGAGTATTCTGGATGAAAGAAGACATTTTGGAAAGTTAACAGGAAGTTTACATTCCAGCCTTGAGACGTGATTCTCACCCCCTGGGTTGCCAATTAATGTCTTTGCTTTGTCATTTCCTATAGAAGTCAACAAGCTCACCAGGTGATAAGCAAGTCTTTTTAATACTATTTGGAAGAAAAGTAAGCCAGTGTTCTTCATGCCCACAGGCAGGATGGAAGAAATAAAGGCAGAAGGAGTCATACCCATTAACTCCAGTAGTTACAGCCCCAAACACCTAGCCATCAGAGAGGGATTCAACCCCACCACTACAAATACAACTTCTTAAACCATAAACATGGAACAGAAAGTCCTTTTTCAGAGAACAGAAGATTGTTTTTACATTTTTTGCAGTGCAAGATTTAAATGTAAAATACAATGACTTTTCCAGCCACCCCACCTTTGCGAAAGCCATGGATGTTTTTTGCCTTGAATTTACTCGATTCTCCATGGAGTAAAAAGTGGGCAAAACTGAAAAAGAAAGTGTATTTTTACAATGCATGTGAACAAACTATTTACTCATTGTTTACAGGAACCTCTGAAGTAAATAGCTTTACAAAACCAAAAAGGAAACTCAAAGGGCCATATAGCATAAATGTAACAATACAAATATCTTGTGTAATGGCACTACATCACGTATTTGAAAGCTTAAAAAGATGGTTTTCTTAGGCTCAAGGCCCCCTTGGATCAAGGAGAGACACACAAAGAAGATAAATTAGCCTGTAATTACTCTTCTAGAGTTCTGGCTCCTTCCTTTGAACTTCACTGTGTTTTTCCGCAGTGAGAACAAAATCCTGAATTAAACGGACTTCAGACTTTCTGTAACAGCAGCAAGTGCCAACATTCCAGTTACCAAGAATGCCTGTGAACTACCAATGAATTCATTGGCAGTTTCACATGCCCACATACAGCCACTTCACCAAAAAAAATTAACTTAGTAATGTGTAATATTATCTGAGTTATACTGAATGTGGCATCTTACAAAAAGTAAAATCTACATTTCCAGATTGTACAAAGTTCTTAAGGAACAACAGTCTGCACACCAGCACTGCCAATTTAACTTGTGCCACCCACAGGTTTTTATTTCATAGGAAATTAAAAGACTTCAACACAAAAAAAAATGTCAAAGTATTCTTCAGAAGGAACTGGTTTTGCACTGAGATTATTTTATTTTGACTAATTTTCCCATCTAAAAGAAAAATGCATGTAAAATTTAATTATATTTTCCTCAAGGCAGGCAGGTGGTAGACCCAGTTTGAAAGCTGCAGAAGCTCAAATTTTTAGAGAAAGGTAAATAATAAATGATCTATTTGTTTATGACTTATCACTACCTGTGACTATTCCTACAATGACAGAAGGTAAGATATTCCTGAAAAGTAAGTTTCAAGTCTGGTTATATTGAACATATTAAAAAAGCCAAGTATTAGGGCAAAATGAGAATTTTATGTATATTGCTTCTTCACACGGTGACCAAAACATCACACTACATAAGCATATAAGAAGCACGTACCAAAATGTTGCTGTATGGATTCTTAACAGAGTACCTGTGACAGCTACCTGAGTGACATGGAGATCATTGCAATTATCACCACTTGTAGAATATCCAGACTGCTGTACAAGTGATCTTTCAGTTGCTCTGCATGGCACAAGACCACAGTAATGACCAAATGAACTTTCTTTCCCTAAATGATACTCTACTAGCAGAGAAAGGAAAGCTTAATCAACCAGAATAAATCATTGCTGTAGGTTTTACTGCAGGATCTGCAGTGTTAATGCTGTTTTGGGGACAGTCACGTTGGCTATCTTCTTTTGAGTGATTCTTTTGAGCAATTTCTAGTACACTAAGAGCCTCTCAGCTCCATCTCTAAGGTTACTTCAGCATAAGACACAAAGTGAATGTTGAGAAATGAATCCCATAGACTATTCGAAGGGATATAATTTACAAGTTTTGGACTGTGGCATTGTAATAGTCAATCTGGCAGTCACACATGTACACAGATTGAGATAAACCATGAATCCCTCAATGGAGGAGAAACACTTGCCTTTTGAAAAGAAGTGATGCATTTTTAACATCTTTTCCAAACAAGTTTGAAGTAAAACATGAGGAGTCATAGGCAAACTTATGCTCCTGGGACAAGCAATGTAATTTAGTTAACCAGTGCAACTAATGAATTCCTTCAGTTTTGTCTTTTCTAGCAATGTAACCTTGAGTTTATTTGGGATTTTGACTTTTTTATTACTATTTTTTTTACCCAGACACTTGTCTGGGTAATACATATATATATATATATACACATATATAATGCATACTATATATATGTAATGTAAATATAATATTGAAATTATTTACTTTTCTTGCAGAACAATCAACAAAGTAGATACCATTTATATACTACCAACATTTTATTTTACGTCTCCTAAAAATTCTCCAGGTGATTTTACATACAAGCCAAACAAAAAGGTAAAAAATTTCACAACTGTCCAACAGTGTGGTCAAGATTGTCTTTAAATTTTCTTTTTAAACAGAATTGATGCATTTCTTTCCATTTATTCAGATCTTCAGAAAGAGATAATGCAGCTTATGACTGCCAGCTTAACACTTTTAAGGCAATCCCCAAATCTTACCTGCCAGAGTTTACTCTGAACAGAGAACTAGGTAAGAAGAGGTAGCTACAATCAGACAATTAACCTACTGAAAAATGCCATGGGCAAGTTTTTGAGATACCGGAACACTTAGCAGGTCCCCAAGAAAAAAAAAAAAAAGAGAGACAAAAGTGGATGCTGTGAATAGTCCATAGAATAATATTTTCAGAGCAAAATGTAATTGACTTTCTTCCATTCAAAGTTTCTTTTTTTAAATAAATACCACAAAAACAAAGACATATTAAGTCTGTTTCTTATATGGACACTGTCTGGAAAATTATGCCGAATTATGTACTCATTTCTACCATTCAAACGCATCGCTGCTGGAACTTTCTTAACAGTACTGTTATACAGTGAGAGAAATAAAGACTGTTCTCAGCCACACAGGTTGACAACTCATTGGATGGTATCTGCAGTCTCACATTTGTTATTATCACTGTTATTGAAGCATCAGTCAAATTCCTTCACCATGACTAGCACTGAGACCTACTGCTTTAAATTTGACATTATATACTGTGCATAAGGCAGCACAGTTATTGCTGTGCCAGTGTGATGACTCAGAACATCACAACCTCTGTAAGTTTTCACGCTCTTAAAATGTCTCTAGGCCAGCCCTATGAATGCAATGCAGCATTAAAAAGAAGAGATTCAAGAGATACTAATACAAATAATCCTTTTGTAATGAGTCATTGTCTCAAAAGAGCTCTGAAGATATTAAAATTTCAAGTGCTATCACTGCTCTTTTACAGTTTCTCAAGAGGACTCCCTAGATTCTTGAGACACATTATAAAGGGCAAATCATTACATAGCCTCAAGTTTAATAAATCCATGAGAAAAAGATATTGGCTTAGCCTGAGTGACTTTTCAGTTCTGTTGATGATAGCCTAAAATCCTTCCTGGCCTTCCACTCAAAATGAGAGCATTTCTTTTCATTTTAATCTCAGAGCCTTCTCCCTGATGTTTTACATAAGACTGACAATTAACAGCATAACTACATTACCAACATCTTCACTGTTTTCCTCCCTTCCTTCATTTTCCCCCTCCCACTCAGCTGACACGTGTTCCCAGCAGGGTAACAGACTCCTCAGAATGACATACTGCCTGTCTGACTGCACAACACCCACATTTCATTAGGGTCTGTGTTGGGCTCCTGAGTGCTTTCACAGTAACAGCCACACTTTCGGTAAGCTTTTAAAAAAATGTTTTTAATTTCATTTTACTTGGAAGTTTGCTTTAAAAATCAAAATTTTCTTACCTAATGTTTCCTTTTGCAGCTCACGGCATCTACTTTGTAGCTCATTCCCTTGCTGAAGTGAAGTTTGAAGCTGTTGACTTTTCAGCTCAGCTGTGTCAGCCACCAATGTCAGATGTTTTACCTTTTCTTGGAGGCATTCATTCTCTCTCTGGGACTTTGCTAATCTTTGATTCAATTTGGGTATTTCTGAGGAGATAAAAAAAACATATAGGCTGTTGTCAAATGTACCTTCTTCACTAATAAGTATTACACCTGATTTTCAACTTCAGGACTTCAGCATGGGTAAGGATCAACACTTCTGCTGAGAACGTAGAGCACCAAAAAAAGCGCTTTGTGCAATACAGATAACTCCTACTTAGCCAAACACATATTATTGAGAAATAATAAAATATTTATTCTCAGCGATAATATGTATTTCTTCTAAGATCTCAATCAAATAAAATACATATATATAATCCACATGAAGTAATAGGTGACATAAATATTTGGATTCAAGCCTTCTATCTTCAGAAGATACACAAATCATTGTTGACATACAAAACCAATTGCAGACTCATTGAAATTAAATTGAGAAAATATCAAGGGGGGTAGCCTCTGCTAAAGCTCGGTTTGAAACTTCTGGTTCAAATGATGTTTGGGCACATGTAATACATTTTATTTTCTCATTCCTTAGATGACAACTGCTGTTAAAGTAATCACAAAGTGTATCTTTATTATATGAAATATAGGTTTTGTCTCTATCTTTCAACATGGGAGAGCAGAAGACCCAAGGAAGTTTCCTGGGAGGTTTTTACTGCAAGGTAAACAACTAAATTGTGGATGAAGTGTAGTAGGTCTCCTATATTTTCATGTGTTTTCCTGAGTTCAGTTATTCTCAATGACTGCATTTCAACATCTCCAGAAGTAGTTGCAATTCTATTCTATGCCTTCTTCAACTAGAGCCCTAAATGTTCCATTGTCCAAAGAACTTACACAACTTTTATTTACATTAATAATGACAATATTCCAGTCAGATTAAGGCTAATTCTATTGTCAAGTCAGCTATTATGTTTTGTATGCTGCCCATATGCAGCATATAAAACTGTCTGTGTCATGCAAATATTTTCATTATCTACAGTCTTTCCCAACAATTCCACACTTAAATTGATTTACTGTTAGACTAAATGATGTAAATACCAGAAGATTTTCTTATACTTCTTTCTACTTGCCCTTAATTAACCAAAGTTAAACAACGTACACATACAAGACTTCTTGCAAACTGTCTTCAAACTAACCAAACTGGTCTAGGCATAAGGAGTAGCACCTCACGTAACATTTTTCTCCCCAAAATCTGAATGGAAAAGTTCTGAAAACCTTGTTGCAGAAAGAGTAAGCTACAATACACAAAAATTTATTATACATTAATATGTTATCATATGTTGATAATGAGCGACTCATAAAACAACATAAAAACTTTTAAATGGCATTCACAGGCAAAAAAAGAAAAAGAAAACCAAAACCCCCTCAAAAAAAGACTAAATTGGTTTGATCTAGAAAGCTAGATTTAAGGATTATATAATATTCACAGCATGGCACTATTCTCAGTAGGATATGCTGAATGGAGCTGGCGATACACAACATGCGTGGCACATATAACCCTTAAAGAACCTGAAAGACTGCACTTCTGCTTTTATATAGATATTCGATATGTTTGCAGCATTACAACAAGTTAAACAAGGAATATTACAGAAAAGAAGCCTTAAAATGTTATGAATCCCTTTGAACCTGAAAATGCCTGCAGAAACACATGTTCACATTCCCTTTATTAGGTAGAAGTAGGCAGAGAATGAGCACAGGAAGAGAGGAATCCTTAGGGACATACAATACTTTCTGTCCTCAGCCTAATTAGGAGATGAAGCCATGTATCAAAATACGCAATACAGACACTGACATTTAAATTAATTGTTCTTATAAAACCTGAATACTAAAAAAGTGATTTTCTGGCCACGCTCATCTTCAGCAGGCAAGAGCCCTGCCTTCTGGGCTCTCTGCTGCCTGGGCTCAGGACGCCCTGACCTCTCTATTCCAACTCAGGCGCAGCCTCAACAGGATGCGTGCCTACTTGCTCCTGTGGCACAGCTGCCCCACTTCTTCCCAGTCTGAACAAAGCAGTCATTGAAAACGTTAAAAATTACTTCTATTTTCACAGGAAGCATAGGCTACTGGGGAGCTATTATTTAAAATGAAGCTACATATTTTCTAAGATACTCTGCGCATGCAGGTTTCACTTAAGCTGTGAATTTTCATGGGAGTTAACACAGTTTCTCCAGCAGAGTGATTTGGGAGATGCACATCACCTACCTTGCCCTTATATTCCTTCTCAAAAGGACAGAAAACATGATATCAGCTCACCTACTTCTTCACTATCTTATAACCCTGATAAAACTAAACTCCACAGGAAATAGCAACCCATCAACTTATACACACTGAAAAACTGTAAGGTAGGGAATACATATATGAAAAATAGGTCTAAAGGCCATTAAAGCTGCTGAAGTCAGCAGAGGAACCAGTTTGGATGCACTGGACGTTAAGAGTTTCTAATTACACTACTGCACGCTTTTTCAGCAAAACTAATCTCTTAACTGAGGCAGAGCAAAAGTGGTATTTAAGGATGAATCTGAGTTTTCAAGTCTGACTGCCAGCCTGAGGGCTGGGCATGACCTTCAGGAACAAACCGTCAGTTGTGACTTGCTCTCAGCTTCTCTTTTGCTGAAGGCTGCCCTTGTTTGAGCAGGAAGCAGTATGTGGGCCAAGTGAATTATTCTCAGCCCACAGGCTGCTCCATGCCCCTTTCAATCCCAAAGAACCCCCAGATAAAGACAGCTGTATTTGAGTATTACTTGTTCTTATTCAGAAACGGAAGGAGGGAGCAGTTGCCACATGTTGGGTGCAGGTTTGTTCATATACAGTAGCTCATGTATTCAAGGCAATCAGACGTGTAAACCAGTAGGCTGGTCAACAGAAGAGGTGCAGCCTGCCCACGCAGCAGGGTGGCAGTATTGCAGGATCCTCAAGCAGCTCCACAAAATATTATACTGCTGTCATGTAGCATCATGTGTATATGTGAGCATGTGCAAAAAACTGGCAACAGTAAAAGTAGGGCAAATTAAAATATCTCCAAGTCTTTGTGTTGCAATCACATCTATATACTCATAGTAAGTATATTACTTATGTTTCAAATAATGGAAAGTACTAATATTACTTCAGTTTCAATCTGACTTGGGTCAGTACCTAACAATAGGTTCAGCACACTAAGACAATAGGAACTGGACTGAGTTCAACGCAGTTCACGTGGTGCCACAGCAGCAGATGGGGTCTTCCATTACTTTGTATCTGGACAAGTTACTGTCAAAATTAGGAATTATCTAATTAATTTTACCTTCTAACTTACTCTGCTACACTCAACTAACAAAAAAAATATTTTATCTGACCCCAAATTATAGCAAGATGATTTACCTGTCAAAGCTTCTTTGCTAACTGTTTTTATTTGTATAAAGATTTCTTCTTTCATGGCAGCCCAGTTCTCCAGATTACTGGAGATGACTTCTTTAATACTGTCTAGTTCACTTCTAATAAAAGGAAACAGTGAAACTGCCTTGTTCAGAGTTGAGCAATGGTGTTCCAATGTATTTCTGCAAGACAGAAAAATAATACCATACATTTTTAAAATGACAAAATACTATTAGTAGACTTGGGAACTAAGGTAAACTTGACAAGTACTTTTATGTTATGTGATAATTTATACTATATTGGTTTACAACAATTTGTTGTATATTGAATATATTTATAATAAGTTTCTCCCTTGTAAATATTAATGTAGAATGTATATATATAAATGAAGACAACTGTACAGACAATTGTACAACCACTTTTTATTGAGAAATCAGAGTAATCATGTTTAAATGATTCTATGTCAAGTTTATGTTGACTCTTTATAAACAATGTCTATAGGAAATACAGTATTTCCAATGCATTGCAAGCAAGTGGTACACACTTCCTTTTAAGTGTTAATGCCTTTAAATTTGTGAAAAACTTATCCTCTTGCTAATAAGATCACCAGTTAGCAGTGGTATTTTCTGGTTACCTTTGCTAACATTACAGCATCTCACTATATTCTGGAAAAAGTAAAAAATACTAGGAAGGTTATAAACGCTCCTCTCACTCACAATACTCTCTCTGCCTGTGCCTGCATCTCCCCTGAAACCTCTTGACTGATTATCAGTGTTCACAGGAAGCACAATATCAGCATTTCTTTTTGGGTTCTTACCTGAGCACTTGTGATTGTTTATAGGCAGCTTCCTTTTCCTCTTGGAAATACCTCAAATCTTCTTTCACATTTTTTAAATCATCTTGCTTGTTTTTAAGTTCCACTGTGAGGGTTCTTATTCTACAGAGTTTACGAAAATAATCAGAAAGTATTATTTGCACTACTAAACAACCTCTAACTTATGTTTCAGCTTTAAATTAAAAATATGCTGAAAGTCTTTTTGAAGATCATAATCACGTATTTCACACTGAGGTATCAGATCTCCAAATAGAAAGAATTTAATCTTCTGGCCACTGTATGAGTCACTTGAGCAACTCTTTCAAAATAGTATTCATAATATTTGTAAAATAATGTGGAAATTTATATGTCCAATATCAGCTCATATGCAATGTGATATAAGTATCTTAAGAACCCAGTGCTCATTCACAGATGCAACACTGAACTCGTTCATCCTCCAAAAAAACATAGCCCATTATGAAAATCTCAGTTTAAAGTTCAGCTTTGGTACCCAGCTTAGGGGCTGTGATATCTAAAATGTATGATGAAAACTAGGTACCACAATGAGTTGCACAGGTTCTACACACAGCTGCAGGGATGTGTGGGGAAGAGTAATGGAGAGCTCATTTAAGCTGAAGAGGAAATTCCCTCAAGTCAATCAACAGCAAATACTAAATATTTGGTTACAGTTACCATAATTGTTTTCCATTCAGATTGTTTATCTATTTCTTAATTTCAGACATTTGCAAAAGATGGATCCCAATTAATCACTCTTGTTTCCCTTCAACCTCAGTTTCACACTCATTATCATGGAAGCATACTTCTGCATTGCTGAATTAGTTAATGGCGCTCTGCAAATACTAATAAAAAATACACATGTAAAATACATTCCTGTACCTTATTTTTACACCAACTGGAATTTAGGCCTCTGTTGCTTGACAATGGCATTTTAAAGAGCTAAAGAGAAACTTTTCACACAAAATGTTTCCACCAAATGTTACTTCTATGTACTCAGGCAATGACATTAGCATCAAAAAGATAAAAAATGCCAAATCAGTATGATTATTTTCCTACATTTTTCTTAAGGAAGATTTAGGGAGAGTGCAGGAAGCTCTGGGCTAGAGCCAGGTTTCCATGCTCCCACAACATGCCAGAGAAAACATTTATTTTCTGTACTTCCCCCCTTCCTTTCAGAAAAACAAACAAACAAACAAACAAACAAAAAACAAAGCAAAATAAAAAACAAACAAAAAAAACCAAACAAAAATAAACGAACAGATTTCAGGACTAGAACACTGTTGATCACAAGATGGGATGGGAAGGACGTGATAAATCCTGGTTGGGTGTCTGGGTCATGCCAGAGCACCAGCTCTCCTCTGTTCCCCTCTCACTCCTAATGCCCCTCAGGATACCTGCAAGCAATTGTCTTACAGAATAGGATGGAAGGAGACAATGTCACAACACCCTATATATGTATTTGCCTCAAACAGATCGAAAAGGTTTTTCATACTTCCTCCTCCTTGGTCTTTCAGTGTGCTGAAACAGCACATAATGGGTTTTTCAGTTATAGTACAGGTGACAAATTTTAGCATTCTACTTCAAATCTGACACCAAAAAAGATTCTAAATTTGGGACCAGGAAAGAAAAGTTCACTGTTATCAGGACTCACAAACACATTGTGCACCCTCCTCCTATTAAAAGTGCAAATTAAAGTTTGTCGCTTCAATTACACTTATTTCAATGAGATTACGACATTTCAGAAGTCGAGTATCTGTAATGGGGGAAAAGGGATCAGATCAGATATATGCTCATGGTTATGTACAAGAGTATTCAACTCAAGATAGACAATAAGTACAAAGTGGAGAAAAATCATTCTTTCATCACAGCTTGTTTCACAGTCAACAGACAGCCCCTGTCCCAGCCATACACTAGCATCTCACAGCCAAGGAGAAGGAACACTGCCTCTTGCAGGGGTTTCGCTCTGTCTCCACAGCACTTCCCACCCAGAGAAAGGGGGAATGAAACCAGAAGCCTCATCTGATGAGGCTGACCTGGTGGGGTTTTCCCCATTCCATTTATGGGATTTCCCACTCTCACAGCCTCACCCTTGCAGTTGGCAGCCAGACTGCCTGCTCCCCAGCCAGCTTGGCCCATTCCCACACCACCTGTAGCGGAAGCTGCAGTCATTTGGGCATGATTCCTGCAGTCACCTGGAAGCACACAGAGATGCAGCCAGCTCAAGGTAAGTGTTCGGCACATTTCTTAACATCTGAATAATCTCCTCATTTTAATTGCTTCAAGTTTCATATATGTATTTTGACAAAAATAGCCCCATAATAAGGCACAGGAGAACCAACCCGTATCTCTTACCACCATCACCTATCCGCAGGAGAGGAGGAGGAGGATAGCTGCCCTAGGAAGCATGGGGAGCTTTCCATCCCTGTACAGCTGTGCACTCGTTGGCCTCCTGCCTGCTCAGGATATGACCCACCTTCGTGCTGGACTCTAAGCCACAGCAACCACAGGTGCCCATGTCAAAGGAGTAGAAGGCTGACCTGCAAGTTTTTCTTTGCCTCTAAAATTTACCTTTTGAACGTTTTCATTACAGCAGTGGTTCAGACCTGTTTGGTTTTTTTTTTTCAAGCACAGTTATCATACAGTTAATAAATACATTTTAAACAGTGTTTTTCAACAACTTGGGACTTATTCCCACAGTTGTAATGAAATGAATGGAACCATATAGGAGTAACAGACAATTGAATCCAATTCCCTTCTTTTGTTACTTGCGCAAAAAGAATACCACATAGCACATTACTACCACTTTACAGCACAACTTTCTTCTATTAGCTGTACATAACCACTCTAATACAGTCTTCTGTCCCCAAAAGTACTACAATGATATGTAACTGTTAAAAATGAGTCCCTTTATAAGCTTTCAACACTAACTGCTAACTCACAGCAAGCAGAGTAAATGATCTATTTGTCTACTGGTGACTCACTGTCACAAGTAAATAAATATTTGAATCAGCAAATATTTTACAAAACCAAAGGATGGCAGAAGCACTACATCAGCCTTTGCTTCAATTTTAAAAAGCAAAAGAAAATAAGAATGATTTATAGAAAAAAAAAAAAGGCAGGCCATAATGTTAATGTGCATTAGTTGCAGTTCTCAGATAGATTATCTATAACATACCTACACCAAAATGCAAATTTAAAAAGTTAATAGTCCTGATAAAGAAACATGGATCTGTCCAGCTCTGCCAAAACCAAAACTGAACATCTGATAGTTAAAAAACAAGTTGTTGGGGCTCAACTGACATTATGGGGGAAAAAAAATGAAGAAATTTCTGCCATTACCTTTTTTGGAAACTTTACCCCTGACTACCTGTAAATTTCTTGGAGGTGGGAGGCAGGAGGGGAGAGAATAAAACCTGTCTGATTGCATTTAGGAGGAGAATCAGATTGGTGTCACTGACTACCAAGAAAATGTTCATTCCCTTAACACTTATACAAATTAAAATATATTTTTGCAGATGATATATTCTGCTAACTATACCTTGAGGAAAAAAGCAGTAATTTATCATTGAACAATAACAGATCAAAACTCTGGGATCCATGAAAAACTGGATGCTCATTTTCTATTCTTACTCATTCCAGAAGGGGCAGTATTTGAAGATCTTTTGGTTTAAAAGACACTTGCAAATAAGCACAGCCAGATTTTCTTCCTCTTTCCATTCCAGAGAACTGATAAAATGAGGTTAGCTTGGAAGTACAGGCTCAGAGAGCAAGCGGACCTTATCAGAATGTTCTGGTGACTTGCACACAAAGGAACAGGAGAAGGTGGAGAAGGCAAGACAGTTGCACTCAGTCTACTGTCATCACCGTAAGAAGGCAGAAAAAACAAACATGTTATTTTGGTGATATTTAGCACAAAGAAAAAAGTTCAATGTGTCATTAAATGCTGGCATTGAGAGAAACATCAGAACATAACTAATCTCATCCACTGTCCTACAATTCACATGAACTGTGAAGATTAACATCCTATCTTTGCAGCCAGCGTACTTTCCCAGTGAATACAGGAAGAAGCCTGCCCAGAGTGGGACTTGAATTATAACATGTTAACTACTACTGCTGACAACAAAAAGAATAGCATGAGAAAATAAAAAAGTAGTCGCCAGCAAACAAACATACTAATTGTACTAAAAGTAATAAAAAGAGCAATCACCATGTTTGTTTGAATTTAAGACTCATAGACTCATGGAAGACACTGCATTTCACAAGAGTTTAGATCAGAAGAAAGAATCTTTGCAGACTACATGGTACACAGCCCTCTGAGCCCCAGCAGGGCCCACTTTAAACCTGGATGAGGGAGTGCATCCTGAGTTGCCTGGAGATGGCAGGGTCAGTAGGTACAGTGAAGGCTGGAAAATACCGTCAATGATAAAGGTTTCACTACAATATTTTCAGCTCCATGAAACTCTAGAACCGGCTCATATCAAGGAGTTGCTCATTTTCATTTCAGCATGTTGCATTCTGTCCAATAGGCAAGTCAGTGTGCATTCCTACAAAGAAGCTGAGCATTTATACATTTGGCATGGAATATGTATAAAATGCATAGTCTGAAACTCATTGCACGTAATATCATCCACAAACTTCTTAATAATTGTCTTTTTTGTATTCTCATTCAGCATAGACTGCTCAAGTTAAGACAAGACTATTTAATAGTCTTCATATGCCATGATAGAATCATTCACTTCTTTGATTGCAGGTTAGCATGTGGCCCAATCTGACAGCAAATTAAAGTTATCGCTGACAATCAACCAAGAGGTTCTTTGTGAAGGTCTCTATCAGTCTCATGTAAGTTGACAGTCTTTTCAAATCTTACATTAATTGTTATCTATCTTTATTATCTTGGCAGAAATAAAAGATGTATTATGAAGATACCCCAGATAAATTTTGCTCCAGCAAAGGTAAATCTCTGGATCAGGTCTGGAAAACAATGACAGAAAGATGACTGCCTTGTCTCAAGCACTTCAGAATTTATCTTTGAGAGAAACCAAGATTTCATTTCCCAGAGCCACTAGTCCAGCTACCAGTTCATTTACAGTAACTACAGTTTATGT